CGAGCACATCCTGAATCGCAAGCCTTCCATCGAGGTCTGCGGGTGACGTCATCACTATAAGCAGCTGTGGCGATGTCACTCGCAGACCCGGCCTGCTCAAGAATTAGTGATCGTAGGCCTTATCAGGATAAGCAATCTTGTCAACGATTGTTGTATAAAAATGTCGAAAATTCCTATAAAATCTAAATCTTTCTTCGCACAAACAAACAAGTATCTGCAAAAAGTTTTTTTCTGACCATTGAAAAATAAACAATTCTCGTCAAAAATAATTTTCTGTAACTTGGAAACATTACCAACATATTTTAAAAACTGCTGTTTTCATCACTCGTTAAACAATAAACATTGTCCGCACCTGTTAGAAAAATCTAACCCAAACAAAATAATATACTTTGACGTCAATTTGGCAACGCAGCACTCCTTGCCTTAACCTTTTAGAATTGTTTTGGGGCTCCCACTAAGCTCTTGTATGCCGAGGGCACTCGTTTCGTTTCGTTGAGGTGATGATATTGATTGACCCACACTCGAAACACGTACCAAGAGCCCGCTTAGGCTCATCTCATTTGGTTGAGATATGCCCAGTCTCTTGGCAATTAAAACATTTGTCCCATAGTATGCAATAAAGTGTTTACCTTCATTGTCAAATAGTCCTTCGAATATGGAACCACGACAAAACACATTCCTTTAGTTTAGAGCTGAGTCAAACTCTCGCAGCATTATCTTCCAATTAATAAGTTGCAAGTAGAAGCCGCACTTGCTGCTCCCATTTCCCAAAATCACTGCGACCATAAAGATCGCCCAATAAGTTGCCCATTGCTCGAATACGGATATTATAGCTACTACTACTATCAAATCTTGTTCACATCGCAACATTGCTAATTCTTTCTGAGCCAGCAACAGAATCCTCCTGCCTTCTGGGTCCTTATTCTTGAAACATGGAAGCAGCGCTCCCAGGGGAACGAATATTCCCTGACCGTTCCTTGTTCCTCTCTTTCTTGCTCCAAATTTTCCCACACATTCGTGGAATTTTTTTCCAATCTTTCGATAAGTTCCGTTTCACTGCCCGTCACAGGCAAATTTCGGAGCCTCAAAAACTCTTTCAATGCATTCACAGTGAAGAAATTTTGTGACAGCATTTCGACAATACGCATCAATGCTTGTTTTGTTCCTTCCTCCCCACCACCAAGTACTTGGCTCAAAACGTACTTGATTACAGAGTACAATTACAAGTATTCAATACCCAAGTACCTACTAAAAGTACCGAGTACAGTTATGAGTGCATTTTGTAGGAGGGGGTTGTTAGTTGTTAGAAGGAGGGAGGGGAGTTTTTCATGAGTTTTAAATGTGATTCACCTTTGTTTGATTACCTTTAAGTAGTGTACCTATCTATAACTAATTTGTTAAACAATAAAGTTAATTTTTGAAGCAAAGCAAAGTCAGCACATTATAAAATATTTTTACCAAAAAATTAATATCTCCTATTGATTGAGTTTATTAAAACTTGTTATGTATTATACATGGTGATTCTTTACTTATACGCATATACGTACGTGCGAATGGAATCTATAATGCTACCTTGCATACCAATAACGTAATAAAAGCGTTTACACAACGTCCTCTTCTAAACATTGACATGTAAATCTAATGCCTAACCTTAGGCTGCAAGCGCTGAAGTAGCTGCACACTAATCACTACGCATGGGTTATGACATCACATCCCCTTTCCCACTTCCATCCCATTTCTCGAAATTTATCCTCATGCCGCTGGTATAATCAAAAATAAAAAAAAACACATTTTGGTTTATTTTGAATCAATTCAGCAATTTTAAAGTTTGGTTTGGTTAGCCAGAGTCCAGAGAGTTTATATCCATATGTTTTTTTTTTTGTAAATTATAAATACCTACATTCTTTGTGAAGCAATTTACTTACCGCTTGAAAATTACTATATTATAGGGCTCAGAATTTTCAAATTTACGGTCACAGACACAGTGTCACAGCGCATAGGAAAGTTCAAGATTTTCGTTTGCAGTCACAACCATCAACGGAACGATGCTACGCATTTGCACGCTAAACAAAAAATGCCAGAAAATATCGTAACATAATGTCAGGTCTCAACTTGTCTGGAAATGTAGTTGTGGCGAAATAAATAAGTACCTACTTAGAGTCCAATAATTTTACTCGGTACCTAACTGCAAATGTATTCGATAACAATGAAAATACCCGGGTACATATAACAAATCTATTCGAGTATGAAAGCATGTACTCGGGTATTTTGAAAATTACTCTGTACAATAAAAAGTACTGGGTATTTTTCATATTCTCAAGACTCAAGCAGTTTAAGTACAAGTACAAGTAGGGGAAGGCGGGGCAGAACGGGGTACTTAACGTTTGATGCTCAATTGTCACTACAAAATTGACAAGATATATATTTTTTTGCTATAGGTGTAGGTATTACTTAACATGCAAATTAAGATTTTTCACCATTTTTAACAGTTAAATAAATATTTTTAAGACAATAATTTTGAGAAACCAAAAAAGTGTATTTTGCCCTATTCCGCACCGCTAGCTGCGGTTTTTATATTTTTCACCAGAAAAACGGCAGCAACTGCTGCGTTCATGGATTCGATACTCTATGCCTGACGCTTTGTCTTCGGAACATAACTTCTAACTAACCATCTGAAAAAAATACTAAATCGATATTAAACGGGACAGAACGCGGTACCCCATTGTACCCCACTCCATTCCGCCCCTTGTGCAATATTTACATTTGAAGTAAAATTCTTGGGAAAAAACATAAACTATAGAGTAAAGCTAAAGTGATAAAAATGTTGCCTAATAAAAGCTCTTTGCATAACATAATTGAAATACATTGAAATTCAATATTATGCAAATCACTTCGGTGGTTAATATGTACGCTAATGTTACAAATTTAAATTACACGAAAAATTCAAGTTGTTTTGGAGACTAAACCCTTGCTCGACGTTTTTCGGACAACTGACGTAGGTACCTGACATGTATTTGATGCGTTTAGGTGAGATTCAGTGCAAGTTCGGATTTTTCCGTTCGCTTTTTAATGAGGATCGATACCCCGTTCTACCCCGCTACCCCATTCTGCCCCGCTTTCCCCTACATGATTCAAAAACTATCTTTGCCTGAGTAGGACCGAGTAACTCAAAATGTACTTAGAGTACGAGGTACAAGTGAAGATCACTTGTACCCGGGTACCGCAGAACTCTGCTACACTACTCTAGTAAAATAAAAAATTTCATACAATGTCGCCGCCAATACAAAATACTCTTCTTCACTTAGCCGTCGCGTACCGGTTTTCGTTACTTTATCCTTTATCCCACTTATGAAGTTGTAGGCGGTTATAATGGGATTTTTTATTCAAAATAGATCGATAAGATGCAGTAACTTGCCGAGACGAAATTAACATTTAAAACAAATATGGAGAAATTGACAGTTATTTCTCAACAAAAATGGTTCGGATACCGCCTGATGACGTTGATAAACCTAACGCCGACAACATTCCACGACAATATAGGTAAAGATACTGAATTCAGAATTGCCTACAATTAGGGCCTCTGAGGAAGTCCCTGGTGAATTCTGCTAGATTATGATGTAAAGACCGAGACCACTTCAAGACCTCTCATCAAGCAATAAGGTATGTATGTAATTGTGCAATCATCAATTTAAATTCAAACCTGCCGAATAGTATTGTAATGGCTGTCTGTATATCCTCCTTTGAAAGCGCGTATCAAATCGACGATGGAGAAGTTGTATTTCCCTCGCAGAGTCTGTGAGTAGTCTTGACCGTGTCTTACGAGATGAAGAACGCTGTGATCTCCAAAGGGTCTCCGTGTATCCTCTTTCTTAGGGACCATTAGTAGGGATAAAGACCACGACTAATCAAATGGACGAGCTGGACTGAGCTGCAAGTTGTGAGAATTAAACCCACAATCCTCACAGCTCGCAGTTTAATTTCTCTCAGAGATGTCAAGAAATCTTAAGCTCATAGATTGTTCAATTTATGAATAAGTATTTGATTTTTGGTATAATTCTAGTGTATATTCAAGTATAGAGCGCGAAACAGGCCTTTCTTGTAGGTTGACAGATTTGCAGGAACGAGTCACATTTTCCTCTTTTTATGTTCAGTATTAGTGTTTGTATACAACTATCTAGTAACCACGCTCTGTATCTACAATTATGTGTCTGATGTTCAATATGATAAATGTACCTATGTAGTTTACCATCATTGTTCAATTTGAACAAAATCCAGAGAAAAGTGCGGCATCAAACTAAAAGATATCACACATTCGTTCGTTGTATATTGGGTATCTATACAACAAAGTATAAAACAACTCGTTGTGTATCGGTAATACAACTATTTGCTATAAATAATATACATACTTTTTATTGGAGCAATACATGGCCTGTATGTCAGATAAATTTTTTTCTACAGTGATAGCTTCGCGCAAGACCACATAAACTATTTTATTACTAAATTATCATCAATAGCGTTATGTTGTTACCGCTAATAAGGTCTGTTTTGAAAAGTTTTTGTCAATTTTGTCAGAAGTTATACAATTTCTTAACAAACGTTTTTTTATTGCGTCGTGTAAACCATATATCCTTTTATCCTTAAGCTTTACCTATTTTTGTAAAAGTTGCTATAAAACACATAATTGTTATTCACTTAGAAGCTGATTTTTTCCTAATTTTCCTTTTTCACAAGAGATAGGGATTATATTACTATATTGTAAGTATATTGGTGCAAAAATTAAAATACCTCTGTACTCGTGAAGAAGAAATACTTACGTTCAAATAACAGCAAATGAATGATTGTACGTATAATTATATGGAAACCTAACCGTACGTAATAAACCGAACACAAAGTTGAAAAACTGGAATAAATAAGGTAGGTAATTATTAATAAGTTATAAACAAGCTTTTTAATATAACCTGGCGCATAGCAAAACAATAATTATTACATTATTTAATTTCTGCTGTTCCACAGTTCCTATAGAGTGATTCTTGCGCAGGAATTCCTCACTTAAAAATAAGTATCATATTAAAATATTTGAATGTGACTACCTACACCAGAAACAGAATACGTATGGCGTTGACTGAGTCAGTCTGGTAGGTACTAATAAAAAGTGCAAGAACTTTTACTGCATTAACGGTTTCATGGAATATGATTTGGTGTTGATAGGATATGAAGAAGGTCAATATGATATTCAAAACCACTAATTTAAAAATGATTGTGAATGTGTTTATAGTGTTGTGCGCGTGTTTATTCAAAACTCATTGTCAAGAAGGTATGATTTTTTCGTTTATTTATATATTTTGTTGTAGATAGTTATGTGAGTCTAGGAAAGAATATATTGAAAGAATGTAATTATTGTGCCCGCCAAACAAAGATTGGGAGAATACCTACTTGTAGAGGCCACTTTTGTGATCAAGAGTGTTTTGTTTATTTGTATACTCTAGTTTAGCTAGGAAATTAACTTCACAATGATTTTTTCTTTATTTTTTTTTTACATTTTGGATGAATTTTGATATTCTATTCACCCTATTACAGTTGTGTATTGTGTGTATTATCAATATAAATAAATTTTATTTCCAAAATCGTATTTCATAAATTAATTTACAATGAAAAAGCCACATAATAGGCATAATGATCTGAAAAAAAGAACTCCACTCAAATTATTTAAAAAGTTCTTGGGGTCACAGGAATTTTGAATCATTTAAGGAAATAACGTGCTCCATAGTATATACCAGTAGGTACCTCTAAAGGTAGGTACAGAAATTCCTGATCCAATTTAATAATTAATTATTATCGAAAAATCCAATTAATTTATCAATATTACGACGTCGTTTATGAACTGAAATGTCAAATTTAGGCTTATAGGTACATGATGCCCAGCCCATGTCGTGTTTGGGGTATTCCAATTTTCATTTAATATGCATTGTTGATTTCAAAACGACCTCCATTTTACGTATAAACCAGAAATACCTATGTACTAATATGATAATTATTATTATATCGCCTGCTTGCTTTATAATGAGAACATTAAAAATAATGTAAATAAAAATATGACTAAAAGACTATTTAATTTTCACTCTTCTCAAATTATTAGTTTAATAGTTTTTTTCACAGAAACAAATAAATAGTAGATTTTCCTCGTAAACTATTACATTTAAAACAGCACTAATTGATTATTTTACGATCAATTCGTTCCAAGAATGAAGAACGGTCAATTAAAATTATAATTTTAAAATAGAAAAATAATTTTTATTACGACTTGTTTACGTTAATTAAATGCATGGTACATTTTCCCATTATTGTAATCATTTTAATTTTACCACCAATATAACTTGCTTTTCAATTTTTAAAATGTATTTACAAGTACCTACATAATTGTTACTTTAATACGCCAACCTAACTGTTTAGTAAAAAAATTACCCTGAAGAACAAGACAATAGCAACTCTTCATCTAGTGAATCTCTATACTTTTTTGTAGATTTTTTAAAATGGTTAAAAGGGGATTAAAGCAAGTTTTTCCAAAAATTATCATTTTTTCAGAATCTTTTTTTCATCTTGTCCTAGGTATATAGAAAACAATTCTTTCTTTACCATATTTTGTTTGAAGGGTATATCTTTTTACAATTGCTTATTTAGTAATGTCTGACCAGTGGTTCAGAAGCTACGGAAGGAAGGAAGGAATTCGGACGTAAATGTGCGATGTTGTCACGTTTAATTAGGTTTGTTCGGACTTAGTTCAGAATCAGTTCTGAATTGAACTGCGCATGCGCATTTTTTCATATCGAACATAAATAAACAAATGCGCATGCGCAGTTCAATCCAGAACTGATTCTGAACTAAGTCCGAACAAACCTATTATCAAGAAGCAAAAATACTAGACATGAAGTACCTATAGTTCATTTGAAAATCAATTTTTTAATAACAAAATAAGAATATAAGATAAGATAATGAGGAAACGCTAAATATTTCAACGTGGTTGTTAGATCTTTTCTTATTTTTTAACTGATTTCTTCAATTTTGTCTATTATAAAAAGTAAACATTTTCTAAAGACACCATCAGCTTTTGTCAATTTGACAAACATCCGGCCTGGATGAACCTGATTGGTGGAGTTTTTGGCACGATCGCCGTTGCCATGGGGAAGCCTGCGGTTGCCATGGGGCTTACGCCTCGCTGTTGGCCAGGGCTCCCGTAATTTTATCCTTCCATCTTGAAATATCGACATATTTAAATATCCAGTGGCGGTGGTTTGGTTACAGTCGATTTTTGTATACGAGTTGCAATACGTAATTATATTTCCAAAAAGTTCTGCACGCAGCTGGGTATTTTATGAATGAAATCCGCAATTTTTTTTTTAACATTGCATTGCCCTCACCGATGTCCTGTAGCTTCAGAATGGCTGGCCAAACATTTGTTTCTCTGTGCTTCAAGTTTTGTTTACCTTTCTGGAGTGGTAGCTCGCATTGTGGAATTATCCATTATTATAACTGAACCTTCGGGAATAAGTTCTATCATCTGCTCAAAATATTCCTCGAACATGTCTGCATTCATATTCATCCCTATGATAATCTCCACTACGATTTGATAGGAAGAGCTATCCACCTTTTGAAAGCCCATTCTCATTCAATTATTGTTTTTTTTTTCCTTTCCTGTTGGAGGCGTATACCTACCGGTTGACCATTCTTCCAGAAAAGCTTGTCGAGAACTTTTTACCATTTTTGTCTTCCCCTACATTTTCAATGTAGGTACCGACCCTACCCCTGATTTATCCATGTTCCGTAAGACTACTACTTCATAGTTCATCTCTATCTCAAATTAAAACCCGAAATCTGTTCGAGATGTCTTTATTTAGGGTTCTTTTTTTCTGCCTGATGATTTTAAGGATTCCCATTTATACAAAAAAAAAAACATTGGTGACTATTAGTAGGTTGAATCGTTGGATGCGAATAGTTAATGTGTTTTCCCATAAATGTACCAGATTTCAGAGATCACCCATCTTCAATGACAGAAATCAGAAAACTTTTTGGCGATTGGCGATCGGAAAACGTCCATTTTGAGTTCACAGAACAAATAGCATAGTGACACTTTTTTTGCACGTTGTAGAGAAATATATTTTTTTAGAAGCTTGATGCTTTTGTTTTGCGTTCCCTTGGAATTCCGCAAATCGTGTTTTTGTACACTAGTTCCCGAACTTTGCAAATGTCAGGATAGGAATTACATTCACTAGTCTACTAGTCATAGTATAATCTTCAGTTTATAGCTCAAAGCTGCCCGATTTCAATCAAGCGAAGAACGGACAGAACACGCTGGAGGATATACTTTTTTCCCTATTGTTATGTTAAATTCTTGGACCTTGGACTTGGTTATCAACTCCAATTATTGAATTAATTTGGGTTAAAATTACAAGAGAAATCTTTATAATTTTAAGTGATTCCTTATTAATAAAATCATTATGAAATAAAATGACAATCAATTTATTCATCTAGCTTTGAGTAATTTCTTGCTCAGGTAAAATAATTCTTTTAGTACCTATTAATTATGGTGTATATTCCCAAATTCACTTGATACCTATCAACATCCAACTTTCACATCTTTTATTTTTCAATTTTTTTTTTTTTAAATTCTTTTGTATGCGACTTTTGAATCTCCCTTAGGATTTGATATCCAACATATTTTCCGGTACTTTTGATGATTATTTACTATTACGTATTTTGAGATAGATTTTACTTATGCCACCAGTCTTGACATTGCAATAATTACACCAGTTGCCTATCTCGATCACTAAGTTCATGCCTTTGCGGCCATCAAGCTTCAAAATCATGCTCTTGTCGATGACGTCACACGGAGAGATTTTACTACCTATTATAACTAGAAATAATACACAACTTGGTTGAAGATTCTCACAGTCTCGGAAATAAATATTGCTACAGAGACTGTTAAACCAATATAATATAGGGCAGTTGTTAGACAAAATCTATTTAGCAATATCGAAATAGAAATCACAAAGAAAGAACTCGGAAGAGAGGTCAGAATGCAAACAGAACATGACTTATTGTTAGAAAAAAATTAGAAAGTACACCGCCTCATCCGGAATGTACCTATGTACGAGACTGTGCGAAGTTCCCCCAAGTTGAGAGATTTATACAAATACTTTCGACGCACCTGATTAAATTCGTTGTTTTCGTCGGGCGGTCGCCCCTGAATTTTAGTACATTAATCATCATTTTAAAACAATTTTTTTCTAGATGTCGTTTGCATCTTTCGCTTTGCCTGTTAGGTTAACCAAAATATAATAATATTCTCCATAAAAGTAAATATTTTAAACTACGACCGCTGGCGCAAACAACTGACCGAAAATTTGATGACGTCAGCAACAGTGCTAGTACCTACACCATAGAGTTGATTCGTAAAATCTAGGCAGATAAGCAAACCTTTGTCTTGTAGTGTGTAATATCCTTGAGAGACTGATATGACACGTTCAACATTGGTTTTATTTTTATTAATAATAGTTGTATTCCTTTCAAGAGCTTGAAACACTAGAGCTACTCGCTCCGGTGTTAGTCGACCCCGATTTGAAAGGAACAGATGCGCTGGCTTCCATGCATTTAAATAGTTTGAGTCGGGCTTGAGCATTCAGGTGCAACAAACACTTTTCGAAAGGAATAAGCGCGAAAACGCCCCGGAGCTGTTCCAGAGCTCCTCCTAGGTGTGAAAGGAATACAAAACTTATGAGAGAACCGCGTAATCCGATGCAGCGAACTTCATATCGGTTATCAGATATGGCGCCGTAAGCGAATTTAATGAATTTTTTTCATAAATTTGTTTTTCGTGATTTTTTTTCTATGTTTCAATAGTTATTATGTTAGTCAGGGCAAAGACAAATCCAACAAAGCAAAAATCATAAAAATCGGTTCAGCCGTTCTCGAGTTATAAGTTCTGTAACCAACTCGACTTTGTTTTATTATATGTATAGATGAGGTCACAGTCAAATTAATATTTAAAGTTCCAACATTACTTTACTAGAAATATCTTTTATTTTGTATAAACTTTTATTCGTGAATCTCTAATACTTTCAGTGATAAGGTATAGGCCCTCTTTAAAGTGGTCACCCTCAGTGTCGGACTGGGGATCATTTGGCCCACCGGGCAAATGGTGAAGTGTCCCACCCAACCCAAACCCCATTTAATAAAAAACAATTTTGATAATCATTTGTTGAATCTGGTCAGTGCCGCATCTAGAATCCTTGCGGCCCTAGGCCAGCTTGAAATTACGGGCCCTTATCAATTTTCTTAGCCCCCCATTATTTCGGAGCATGAAACATCGAAATAAAGGGGACAGGGAATAACAGAAATGAGTAGTGTCCATACACTTATGACACTCTATAAGCACTGGAACGGCGCGAAGTAATTGCGGAGTACACCTGGTATCCCGTACTAGACTCTAAACTGAAACAAGATTATGCATGACGAGATTTCGATGCATTCGCGAGATTCTCGTACGAGACGCGAGACGAGACGAGACGAGATTCGAGGCTGCTAGAAAAGACTTCATATTTAATTGACGAGACGAGACAATACTTTATGAAAGTCTCGTCTCGTTGGTCGCGTGAGAATCACTATCAAAAAGTCGTATTTATATCGGTAATAAAGTAAACCAATAAAAATACCTCTAAATGATTTATGATACAGCGGAGCGGGTCCCTCTTTTTTACGGGTCCTAGGCATGGGCCTCACGGGCCTAATGGATAATGCGGCCCTGAATCTGGTACCTAGTTATGTTATATTATAGGCATAAAAAAAATAAGTACCTACCTAGGCACTTAAGGTTTACTCCGCACCAACCTGCTTATATTTTGTGGTTATTTTCCGATGTAGTAGGTATGTAGTTTGTAGTTGTATATGAATTATCATAAAAATTAAGAGTACGTAACATAAAAAAAAACAACAGGATATACAGGGTGTTCCGAAACTATTGTGCCAAAAATTAAGGGATGATAGATCTCGCCAAAATAAACGTTTTTCACTCATAAACCTATAGGCGCATGCGCTTTGGTAAGGTGATAATAGCACATTACAGTCTGCGCTGTGGTAGCTACATTGCGTAGGTTTCTACGTACGCAATATGTAGCTACCATTGTAGAAACGCGTTTGAAGCAGAAACTGTGCTATTAAATAATACAGAAATCCCAGAAATGCTTGCAATATTTATTAAAAACAATGATTCACATCAGAAGATGCTCAAAATGACGACCACCAGCCTCAATGCATGCGTGACAGCGCTATAGCATAGCCTTCTGAACACGTTGAAAAATTCCTGGCGCTTCGCGAATTTCAGCAGCTGCTGCAACAATCCTTTCCACTAACTATTCCTCCGTTTCAACTGGAGTGTCATTCACTTTCATATGACATCATAAAAAAAAGTCGCATTCGGTCAGGTCTGGTGAACCTGAAGGCCATGCAATAGGTGCACCCTTACCAGACACTCTTTCCAGATTATGTTTCGTTGAAATGTTCCTTTACGGCTTACGAGTAATGTGGTGGACCTCCGTCGTGTTGATACCTCATGTTCTGTCCGGCATACAGGGAAACAGTTACTAAAAGTTCGGGAAGGGTTTCCTGCAGTCGATATTTCAGGCATGCATTGAGGCGGGTGGTCGTAATTTTGAGCATCTTTTGATGTGAATAATTGTTGCTAATAAATACTGCTAGCATTTCTTGGATTTTGCATTATTTAATAGCACAGTTTCTGATTCAAATACGTTTCTCCGTGAGCAAGGTGGCTACCACAGCGCGGACTGTAATGTGCTATTATCACCTAACCGAAGCTCATGCGCCCATGGGTTTAAAAGTAAAAAATGTTTATTTTGGCGAGATCTATCATCCCTTAATTTTTGGCACAATAGTTTCGGAACACCCTGTATAATATTATCTCAGAATTGGGGTTAGAGGCTAAAATGTACTTAGGATTGTTCTATAGCATATTCTTTTCTCCACGACGTCGAAGATGGTCCGGGCAATCCGGGCATTGAGTCTTCCTGAACCCCTTTTTGATTTTTTGGTATTGGAGGCAGGGCAGATTGCTGGGCTACTGTTTGATGCTGCTTTTAACAGTGGGTCATTTTTTGCAATCGGGGACAGTTCTTCAGTTTCTAGAATCTCTGTAGAAGTAGAACATGCAGAAGCATCCTCGAAACTTCCCGCGGGTTCCAAATAAATTTGACACATAATCTACATACAGGGTTAGTAAAAAGTACTGCAACACTTAAATATCTTCGAAACTGCTTAAGCCGCGTTCACACAATTCGGAATCTGGCAGTTTTCAGGCATGCGGAATTCAACATTGCTATTGGCAATGTTGCCAGATTTCCCAGTTTTGCGCTAAACGTAGTCTTTTTGTTATCTTAAATAGAATGCCCCATTTATTTTTATTGCAATGAATTGGGCGTGCCAAATTTGATAAGACTCCAAATTTTCAGAATTCTATCTCTACTAGTTGTTGAAATATGACAACATCGTATGTTCGGTGAAAAGTATCGCAACACTTGAATATCTTCAAACGCTGTTCAAGCACGTTCACGAAATTTGGTATCCGGGAGTTTTTGAGCAAGTGAAATTTAACCGTGATATCGGCATTGTTGCCAGATTTCCCAGTTTTGCCCTACAAGTAGTCTTTTTGTTATCTTGAATAGAATGCTCCATTTATTTTTATAGCAATAAATTGGACGTGTCAAATTTGATAAGATTCTAAATTTTCAGAATTCTATCTGCACTAGTTGCTGAAATATGCCAACGCCGCATTTTCAGTGAACGATATCGCAACGCTTAAAACCCCGCTTAAGCTCGTCCACTAAATTCGGTATCTGGGGATTCATGGCCAAGCGAAATTCAACTGTGATATCGGCATTGTTGCCAAGTTTCCTAGTTTCGCGCTACACGTAGTGTTGCTCGTGGCTTATAGTTTTTTTTTTAATAATACACGTTACTTGTTCATGAGTTATTCATATTTCTAGGCGTTTCCAATAAGTTTGCGGCTCCTCCTAAAATAGGTAGGTAAATATCCCAGAATGATTCTCACTATAGTAGTATCTAACAGTACCTACAAGCAGCATATTGAAAATTTGGAATCTCATTATAATTTGGACCAATTCATTGCAATAAAAATATCGGGTCTTCAAAAAAAAAACAATCTAAGATTGCTATGGTTTTTTAAACGTATGTCTTAGCAATATTTTTCTTTAATTTTGTCAATGAACTTAAATGTCAAAATGTCAAAAATCCTGACCAATAAAGAAACAATAATGCGACGTACGTTTTCGTAACCAAAGCAATCTTTGATTGTTTTTTTTTTTGAAGACCCGATAGATGGGGCATTTTATTTAAGATAACAAAAAGACTACGTGTAGCGCGGAACTGGGAAACTTGGCAACAATGCCGTTACCACAGTTGAATTTCGCTTGCCCATAAATTCCCAGATACCGAATTTAGTGGACGGGCTTAAGCGGGCTTTGAAGATATTCAAGCGTTGCGATACCGTTTACTGAAAATACGGTGTTGGCATATTTCAGCAACTAGTAGAGATAGAATACTGAAAATTTGGAATCATATCAAATTTAGCACTTCCAATTTATTGCAATAAAAATAAATGGGGCATTCTATTCAAGATAATAGAAAGACTGCGTGTAGCGCAAAACTGAAAAATCTGGCAACAATGCGGATATCACGGTTGAATTTGACTTGCCCAAAAACCCCCAGATACCAAATTTCGTGAACGTGCTTAAGCGGCGTTTGAAGATATTCAAGCGTTGCTATACTTTTCACCGAAAATACTGTTGTGATCCTTCAGTGTTTTGCCTTGGTTAAAAGTGCTTTTGTTTTTGGTTTGAAACTGTAGCTTTATTAGGTAATGGAATATAGAATGAAATTGAACTACAGCAAAAGTAAGACTTATTTTAGAGAGAGTTTTAACAAAATGTGTTACTACGACTGAAGCTGTCTTAAGACTGTCTTCTTGCTTCACTAGATCTCTTACAAATCGACCTTTACATCCCTTCTAAAACGTTTCTAAAACCTACATAATTACAACTGGAAAACCCTAAATAAATATTGGCAATAAATGACAGTCTGTTCGCCCAAAGAATGACCATTAAGGATATTTGGGAATTTTGGGGTTTATGGTGGACAAATGTTTAATTTATTTACATACAATATCTTTGGGTTCTTTAACAGAAAGTCTGGGTCATATAATACTATTGCTTTCGGCGACGGCGAGACATTATTTGGGAAAGTATTCGAGGGTCGTAAAAGGTACAATGTCATGATATTATGGAGGAATATGACAATACGGTGTCGTCATATTTCAGCAACCAGTAGAGATAGAATTCTGAAAGTTTGGAATCTTATTAAATTTGGCACGCCCAATTCATTGCAGTAAAAATAACTGGGGCATTCTGTTTAAGATAACGAAATGACTACGTGTAGCGCAAAACTGGAAAATCTGGCAACATTGCCAATAGCACTGTTGAATTCCGCATACCTGAAAACTGCCAGATTCCGAATTGTGTGAACGCGGCTTGAGCAGTTTTGAAGATATTTAAGTGTAACAGTACTTTTTACTAACAAATCAAAACCAAAACCAATGTGAGGATGTGGATTTTTTTACAAACTCACTACCCCTATCTCTGTATTTTTAAAAATCAACAACGGGTAAGTCAGTTGAATTCAAATTCACTGACTGATATGCGGCGGGCGATTTCTACGCGACTTCGGCTTGAACTTCTTCAGCAGAGCAGAAGAGCGTTGATACTGATGATAGTTGATTTTTCATAAGGACGGTGGATTACGCGAAATAACGTATGATTTGATGATCAATGGCGTGGGGAGTGGGATATTTTAATTTATTTTTATGAATATTCGAATGGCCCACCTATTGAAGACGTCACCTGGCCCACCGGGATTTTGCCCGGTGGGCCAGTCCGACACTGGTCACCCTTTATATTAGTGTATATTGTTACTTTCACTGCCCCGATTTAGAAAATTATACCTACCTATTCAGTAATTTTTAATTTTATAGTTGGAGAAGCCTGCACCATTACTAGCACAGGAGATACAGGGACATGCAGGATACATTCAGATTGTCCTGGTATAGAAGACCAAGGCAGAAGAAATATACCTATAACATTGTGCGGCTTCTACCAACTTACCGTTCCTGTAGTTTGTTGTAGAAGTAAGTACTAATTAATATTAGATACAAATTTCCCCAAAATTACCAGAGAGACAACCCAACCAGTAACCGAATGCCTAGATGATGGTCAGGATAAATTAGAGTGGAGACCTAAAAAACAATTAAAGAATATTATTATTATTGCTTCCCTTTAGGGAGAGAATTTTTAAAAAAAATATCTATTTCCTTATTTCAGACGAAATTCTTTTCAATACACCAAATGATTTAGGCATCGAAGATAGTATACAATTTCCAGACGAGACTCCTAATTTAAATGGGAATTCTTTCTTTAGTGGAGCAGCTAAAAAAAGCGAACAAAGTGAGTAACAAATTGATAACTATTGTTTTATGACGGGCAATTTTTTTCTCAATTTTCAGAATGTCTGGAATACACTAAAGCTGTGACAGATGTAGTTCATGCGATTCCTCTTGTAACGAATGTGGAGCCAATAACTATAAACGTGACTAAATGCGAATATAATAGTGTAGCTTTAATTGTGGGTGGAACACCCGCTGCAGTAGGAGAATTTCCATTTATGGTAATTATAAAAACACTACAAATATTGAGGAGATTTTGACGGGCAGTTGCATCGTGAAATTTCCAGTTTGCACTCTTTGTTTTATTGAAACAACGAGCTAAAAGTTCGTGCAGGTACTATTTGAAATCTAAAGATTGCGCTAAGCCGGATTTTCCTGAAATCCTCAATCAACCTCGAAAACCAATTTGATTAAATAAAACTTTATTTTTAACGTCTCTCGTAGAAATAACAGCATATGAAATTGTATTCTTCCAAAAAATATCAAAATATCTACTAAGAATATCAAATTAGTGGTGATGATCTAAAGCGTGATTGAAGCAAGAAAAAACGGTGTCTATGTGTGGTGTGTTTGTTCCCGCGAAACTTTCGAACTTCTCGAGTCGTTGCGTAAATGCTTTCTGCCGTGGAAGCATCCATGTCCTCTCATCTTCGAAAATGTGTCAAATTCAGAAAACATTTAAATATAGGAAGAAATATTATTAGATAAAACAAATAAGGTGCAGTTTCAGACTTTTTTGTCTCCACTCTATTTCTTATGCGTCTCTTTACTTATTTCGTTACATAGTTCGATTTGTTCTGTTCAATTCATCTTCTTGTTTCAATCACTTTGTTCATGTTATTTCTGAATGCGATATGTATAGTCTTTTTTCACAAATGTATTCCATCCATGACTTATCGCATTCGTACAATTTGCTAAGCCAGTTGAGCACAGTAACGGTAACTTGATCACGATTAGATGCTTTATCCTGATAAAATATGTTTTAGGCTGCAATTGGGTTTCCTGACTCTGATGATAGGCCAGAATGGAAGTGCGGTGGGACACTAATAAGCGATAGATGGATTTTAACAGCCTCACATTGTACATTTTCCCAGTAAGTTTTGGTTTCAAAGTTTTGTTTTCACAATTTTTTGGTGACGTATCCAAAACAGTCAATCCAGCAACAAAAATCTAAGGGGGAAAAAACAAGCCTAAGAAGTAGCCCCCTAATAACTGAAATTTTGTTCTTATGTTTACTTCAGGCTTGTTCTTTGACCTTTGACCCTGCAGCTGGATTAAGGTATCTGGTGGCGAATGTCTCTGGAATGCCATGGATAACCAAATCTTTTTTTTTTAGAAATAGTGAACCAAAATTTATTCGTCTTGGAGCATTAGATATGGCAAAAAGGCAAGAGTTTGGACGTATCGACTACCTTGTTGATAGAATTATAGTTCATCCAGATTACAAGTACCCTGTAAAATACAATGATATAGCTCTAATGTCAACAAACAGGCGTGTGCAATTTTCAAAGCTTATACGGCCAGCTTGTTTATATACAAAGTCGAGCATTGCGCAGAAAGTTGCTATAGCTACAGGATGGGGACAAACAGGTAAGATTACGCAAGCTCTTTTCAAAATATTCACCATAGGAAGAATAAGTTTTCCAAATTTTTCTGTAAAAAAAAAACAATATAAAGTAAGTAGGTACCTTTAATTTGCTACAGATTTTTGATGCTCTGGAGATTGCTAAAAATAAACGTTCAAAAATATTCCAATAGATATAGTCCGCCGCATGACAGATAAAGGATTGGAAGAATCCGACCACCCGCGCCCCGTCCGGTACTTCAACAAATACATTTCCTCCGCATTATTTATCGTCTTTTTCTAGTCAACAGACTATTTAGTACTTATTTCTCGATCTTTTTAGTGAGCTTGCTAAGCATTTGCTTCCTCTTCCCCTTCAGCAGCGTTGCCATTCCTCATGATTTTACATGAGATCTCATGTTTTCATTGTCCATCTCATGCTCTCATGTTTCCAAGTAAAAATCTCATGATTTTTTATCTTATGGTTTGATATTAAATAATGTTGGTTTTTTGCATTTTGTCCTGAATATTTCTGGTTATCAGTTTCAAAAGTTAAAAGGTGATGCTAAATTTATGTAGTTTAAACCACACTCAAATGCTACATTTGAGAGGATTTTTTCACAAAGTCCAAAAACCGCCTAAACCCAAAGTGCAATAGCTGGTATTTTGAGAACGGAACAATATATTGGGTCCAATAATTGTACCAAATTTTAACATTGATAACACATTTATAAATAAGAAGAAACCCACTATATACAGCACCAATGTAGTGGAGAAGTATAAACATTTACTTAAAAATCTTTAATCAAATAGAATGTAGCTGTGATTGAAGAAAACACAAATGTTCCTTCTGTCTTCTGTACTAAAATAGGTTCCCTTTTTTTGTGATGTGATGTATTTTCTTCGATTGTTTGTTTTATTTTGATTGTTTTTTTTTAACAAAAGATGGTATGAAACAAGATCACGAGTTTTAAACAACTGTTTTTATTTATTTTTTAATGGCCCCTCATGCTTTCAGCAATTTTAAAAATCTCATGTTTTCTCATGTTTTCAATGACTCAAATTTCATGCTATAGAAGTTTCAGGCCTGGCAACACTGCCCTTCAGGCGTCGTCGCCCTATTCGCCCTTTATCTTCCGTGCTGCGGTTTATAAATATTTTTTGACTGCTTGCAGAAACATTGTCAACAAGACAATTATAATCTATACTAAGTTCATTGATACTAAAGATGAAATAGAAATCATTGCACGTCATCGATGACTATAAATCCAGTCATACCACAACATTGAATTTAGATGAAAAAACGATATATTAAATTGTTATTGATTTTGAAATTTGGCGTCTGTTTTGAGGTTAGTAGCGTTGATAGGTCGCATGCGACGTTGCCGATCGATGATCGTTCAACAATTTTGATATTGATTTGTTACGATAGGGGGTTGAACGTACATCTACTCCAATTTCGTCTCTTTTTGAAGCTCCAAAAATATTTATCCAGACCGAAAAAGGTTTTTTTTTAGAATTCTCATAGGGTAATAATACTTCTTGTTTGAAGGTGGTAGAATAATATGTTTCAAAGAAGAAAAAAGTCTGGACTTCCAGTACCTTTTGGTTTATTGTCGCCACGTTTCGAATATCTTCTATCAACAGTCGTTTTTAAGCAAATGACAAAATTTCTTAGAATACGAGCTCATATACTTATTAAAGGCCGTACATTTCCTCGAAGCCATTACCCCAGTACCTACCTGAATTTGCTAAGATTATCGTTAGTGAGCTATTATAGGTAGGTAATAATCTTAGGTAATAATGCAAAATTATGATGATAATTAACTATGTATTTTAAGTTTAGTTTATAATTCACCGGACTTGATGTTACTCGATTGATTTCCAAACTCTTGGAATTTCGATCGATAGTTTATTGAAGATGTTTGTGCTTCTTTGAACTTTCCTTTTTTTTGCCCCCGACTCTTGTATTATATGTTGCTTAACCTATATATCTTGAGCTATTCCTGATTTGGCGGTTTCTGTTTTTGGCAATTCTGGATATCCAGTGGTCTTTTTAGTCTCTATGACGAATGACGATGTATGCCCACATGCGCATGGTACTTTGTATATGGAGTTCTTCGTGTCGAAAACGGCTGAAATATTGTATTTTCGTACGATCCGTTGTATTTTCTCTGAAAGTACTCAAGTAGAATTTGCCTCTTGTTCTTTTCAAAGTATCCGTTTCCTGAGAGGTAGGTATGTCTTCATTCTCATTTTTTAGATTTTAGCTTTTTCGCTCTGTCTGGTAGTAAATTGATGGCCCCTATTTATTTAAATATTGGCTGGTATATGGGTAATTGGATTTCTATATGTGTTTATTTGTCCAGGAATGATAGCTGACCTTCTAATTCCTTCTCCTTTATGAACTTTATGTTTAGTTTCAGATTATTTATGTGGTCTAGGCTACTCTTAGGTTCTAGGTATTGTTTAAGATAGGTACTGCTGTTCGTCACGATTCCATAATATGATGAATGTATCGTCTATCTCATCCACAATTGTGTTTCTGATGGCTTCAGCTAGCTTGACACTAATTCATGAAGATGTTAGCTAAAACAGGATACATCATACATCTTTGTGTTAGTAAAATTTGTCTTTTTTTTAACTAGGAATTTTTCAGACAACAACTCTACTAGTATGTCAGATCCTTCCATTACCGTTTATCTAGTTAGTCTAGCTCCTGTATGATTATATTGATTACCTCCGTGGTTGGTACGTTTGTGTATAGATTTTCTACATCGAAACTGATGAGTCGGTCTTCTGGCTGAAGATTAATGGTTTTGCGTCCACAAAATGCCTGGAATCCTTGAAAAATTAAATACTATTGTTCTGTAGCTAAGCGGTTTAGTTATGGGCAGGAGGAACTTTGCTAACTTATATATTGGTGCTCTAAAAGGTGATTTGTCTTAGAGGGATTCCGTCTATGCGTAATATTGGCAATTTATAGAGTATATGCTAGAGGTTTTGCTATTATCAGGGCCGCTGCTACTAGGGTGTTACCCGCCTGTGTGCCCAGACAATTTTCGCCGCTCCACTACCCTCTAAAGTACAAAATTAAGAGCGTTAGGATGGAATAAAAGTTTTAGACCTTAAGACTTAGCGTATGACTCGTGGTAGAGACGAAGAAAGGGCCACACAAAAGAGACACGCGCATCTTTAGTGTCGTCACAAGGGTATCGATCGGCGCTTGACAATAATAGGCAATTATCTTTGCTTATAATCCTTGGTTTTTGTCAAGCGTTCGTCGGCTGTCATTGGCTTGGCTGCTTTTCTCAGTCTCTCTACTTTACATCTGTCTTCTCTCTCGTGTAACGAAATTTGCCAAACCTTTCAAATCACTCTCCATTCTCGTCCAAATATCAGACCGCCGCCTTCAAAATCCTAATTAGTTTGGTCCGCTGTAATGTTCGGGTGCGTCTGTCACCGACATTTGATATCCCAATAAAGAATAAAATTTGACAACTCAAAGAGTCTATTTGCTTGTCTTAGGGTCGATACTTTTGCTCTCGATTAACGAATTTGATACGTTGTCAAAGTTTTGCATGGGCCAAGGTCTATATAAGTATGATGTGGTTAGAGCACATTCAAAGCCCTGATTATTTTTAACGGCTGTCAAATGAGAGCAAAAGTACCGGCACTTAATGTATTAGGAAATTGTTATCAAAGGCAGGGATATAGGTAATACAAATTTGTGAAGAAATACTTTCGGTTTATTTTTGTTATTAAAGCTTGATGGATTTATTTGTTTTATTTGTTTTTATTTTCGACAAAACTCGATGGGTATGATTTATTTTGAAGTTAAACTTCTTAGGCAGCGGTCTGATATTTGGACGAGAATGAAGAGTGATTTAAAAGACGCGTCACGTTATGAGAAATTTCGTTACACGAGAGAGAAGGAAGATATCACGTATAGAGACGGAGAAAGACAGCATATTATGACAATGACAGCCGACGAACGATTGACACAAACCAAGGATTATACCCAAGGAGGATTGTCTATTATTGTCAAGCGTCGGTACCCTTGTGACGTCACTACAGATGTGCGTCTCCTATTTGTGTGGTCCTTCGTCTTCTACCATGTATCAACGCTGCACATGATTTTTTTTTTGCATCAGGATCGGCGGCGGCAACCTTTTTTCAATCGGCCGGCCCTGGCTTTTCTGAGGAGTGAGACTGGTTCTGATGGCGTCATCTATGCAGATTTTCCTTTCCACTGTGCCTGTTCGATTTTCCTTCACTTTACCGTAGGTATAGCTTCTCTTTTCTAGATTCTTTGCCAGGTCTCCGTCTATAGGCGTGCGCCTCAAATTTGAAAGCTTTGAGAATTTTTCGTAATAGTTCACTGTGAACATGATAAAGCAGTGTAATGTAGAAATAGGCACAATTCACGTGAAAAACACTGAAATGCCCAATTATTGACAATATATCAATATAATTCCTAATTTGTCTTAATCAACACCATCAATAGGTACCTACCAGTTTCTATAAGATTTATTTAAATTCGTACTGAACATTTTATTTTTTTATTTATACAGATTATACAGGTCCAAATAGTGACAAATTGCTGAAAGTACAACTGAACATATACGACAACAGTTATTGCACAAAAGCCTATCAAAAAGAAATTAAAGGAAGTCCACAACTAGCAAGTGGCATTACAAATACAATGTTGTGTGCAGGGGAACTTAGAGGAGGAATGGATACTTGTTTGGTATGTAGATATCATTATTATTAATATTTATTTGCTAGGGAAAGGAAAGTCGTTCCTGGCATAGCAGACAGAATAGCTTATAACGAAAAGTTTGCACTTGCACCCGTCTAGGATTTGAACCTAGGAACTCTATATAAGGTACCAGTCTAAGGCTCTACCAACTGAGCTTCCGAGGCCTTCGGTTCATTTCGCTTGACCGATTAGTTAGAAATGAATTGAAGGCCTCAGTAGCTCAGTTGGTAGAGCGGTGGACTGGCAATGTAGACGTCCTACATAGGTTCAAATCCTAGCCGAGTCCAAAGTTTTCGTTATCTTTTAATTAGCTATTCTGTCTGCCTGACCGCTCGTCAGACACCATTAATTTTCTTCTTTTGTCAATATTCTAAGTGAAAACTGTTTAACTTGGCTGATAATGTGAAATACTATAAATTAAGTGTTTTATTAATTACAATGGTTTAAGAACCCGTGATTATATAGGTGGATATTTTTTAGGGTGATTCAGGCGGCCCAATATTTATTACTGAAAAAGAGAACATGTGCAAATTTTACGTAATAGGAGTAACATCATTTGGAAAGTTGTGTGCCGCTGAAAACATTCCAGCTATTTATACTAGAGTATCAGAGTATGTTGATTGGATTGAACGTACCATCTGGTAAATAGAATGTTTAGTAAATATTTAAGAATGTCTTTGCCAAAGTAAAAGTGGGATATAATTGAATTGGAAATTATTTTATAGTGAAAAAAGGCTACTATATTTAACATATTATATTGTTTAACTTAATACGTAGCCAGTATCTTCATTAACAGTTAGAATAAGGTTAGTTCTATTTTCAGCCACAAGATGTTTCTTTCGCCAGACATTTTTTAAATATGCATAAAAAAATGTTAACGTAACATGAAGCTATGTGATTTTTTTTAATACCTACATAAACCCTACAGAACTATTGATATAAGTAGGTAGGTACCTACCCAGGGTATTTGATTATATTTAAGCCCATACCTACAGCCATTATTATTTAAGATAGAAAATTTTCAAAAACTCAAATCATATATAGAAAAATTTTCAAAGCTGACACCATTGTTTAATTTATCGTTTTGTTTTTGTCAGATAAATTTGTTTTATTTTTATGTTGAATAGGTATTTTCATTATTGCTCAAAATCTATAATAACATTTTTCACGGAAAATGGTTCGGACTTGATGACTGCATAGTTCCTGCTACAAATTAGGGATTTTGAAATTTAAAATTCTCAAAAAAAAAATACTGAAACGAGGTTTTGGTGCACAATAATTTTAAATTTAAAACAAGGTCTTTGAAAAGTAGTGAAACATTTCAGCGGTGTGTAAAACGAAGAGAAATGCAGCAAAAAGCAGAACAGTGGACCACAACCACAAAGCTGTTAATATAAGATAACTAAATTGTCACATTGTACCGATGGGCTACAAAAGGAAAGCCTGTTCGCATTCTTGAAAATTATGGTTTAGGCTTGCTCAAAAGGGTTGGTGCAAACAGTCACTAGTGGCAGAAATAGTTGTGTATTTTCGGAAATCCGTTTTGGTATAGGTGGCACGTTTACCGGTACTTTTTTGGTTAGATAAGATATATTTGATGACACCTTAACCTCCGCCTAACCAAGCTGAGTATAAAATAAGGATTCATTGCATTGTCCATTACTATTACGATATTCTAAGGAATGTTTGGTATAGGACAATTCTTGAACCACTCTTCAATAAAGTTCTAATGTAGTCCATGCCGGCGTTATTGGGCGATTTTCAGAATGATATACAAATAAATCTAAAAACCGCTATTACGAAAAATCTTCAATCCCTTGATATAAAAAAAATAATAATATAGCCAAGCAGATATAACAAAACAAAAAAGTTTATTGTAATAAATTAATATTTAAAGAATTCAATCCTATATATAATGTTGAGCGAGAATTGCACATTTAAATCTTAAATTAAGTAACCTGAGTATTTTGGAATGTTTTTACAGCGAAATTATACCTATACCTATGTATAAAGGTAATGAATCACAGATGTAAACGTAAAAAAATATATTAAGAAGGACCAAAGTTGAAAGATACAATATTTCCTTGGGGCTTCCTTGGGAGTCGTTAGTTTAGAATGGACACTTATTACCATTTGACAAAATTATCATGTCAATTCTAAATATCCAAGGCTTAAGGTTTGAGGAAACCTCAAGGAAAGACTTTAAATTTGGCCCTTAGTTTGGTCATGTAATAGAAAGGTATCAAATTACACTTGCTGCTTGCAGTTTGTAGCATACACTTCATCTCAGGGTAGATAGGATCGCTATCTATTGTGAGTTGTGAGAGATGGACTACTTTTTCAATTCAAAATGAATAAAGCCGCTTATCCGCGGGTCAGGATATTTATAATCATACGGGTGACACTTTAAAAACTTACAATGGCTATATCTCAGGAACCAACAAAAATATAAAAAATCGCTGAAAAAAATTTCTATAGTGGGGAGGGGGAACCAAAATAATGTAATCACCAATCTGTTTCCACTTACCCCCCACCCCCAGCCACCCCAACTAAATAATCTTAAATAGGAACCCCCTACTTGTGATACCTTATCTGAAAGCTCTTAAAAAATGTTTTTCAATGGTACCCTATAAGCTAGGATTCGATGTGATAGTTTTTGGTTTATTGGGTAAATAAAACTTCATTCAATTAAATTAAAATTGTATTTTTAGGACTTGGCAATTTTTTCAGGTTCCCAAAACAACGAATTAACCCAAAATAATCCAAGCCTAAAATATTTAAGCCTCAAGATTAATGCTACGATAGTGACAAAAATGTTTTTAAATGTTTATAAATTAATAGTCAAAAATTCAATTCACATTTCAATGGTTATGTTTTGACAATTATTGACAATTATAACATCCAATCCTAGCTTGTAGAGTACTATTGAAAAGCATTTTTCAAGAGTTTTCAGATAAGGTATCACAAGTAGGGGGTTGGTATTTGAGATTATTAAGTTGGGGTGGCTAGGGGTGTGGGGGTGAGTGAAAACAAGTTAGTTATTACATAATTTTATTTCCCCCTCCCTACTATTGAAATTATTTTTAGCGATTTTTTATATTTTTTCTAGTTCCTGAGATATAGCCATTGTAAGTTTTTAAAGTGTCACCCTGTATATGAACTTTACCTTTATGAAGTCAGAATATGCTGGGAGGAGAGTACAATAACAAAGGTTACAACAGTTTCGACAGTTTTGGGTATTGAAGATACTAGAAAAACCTATTGTGCCATCGAGCACTAAATAATAAATCTGTCTAAATTATTGTCATTAAAGCCTAAATGGAAATGCAGACTTTCGGATTTTTGAAAATCTGTCAAAGCCTTTCTTTTCTCTTTTTAAAAGTACGATTTAAAACAGTGATTGACGTCTGAACATTCTGACATAATTACTTATACCTCAAGAGACTCGTTTAATTGTTTTGTCCCAACATTGATGCATATCAAAATACCTATCATTACAAAGTGACGAAATCATTGTTGCCATTTATGTTACATTGCCCAAGTTCAAATTTTAGGATTTTCTTTTACAAATAGCATTTGGACGTTTGGGCAACCCGCACGTTGGTAATCGAAGTCGGGCTTACCACCTGCCAACGCGTTTTTGCACACCAACAACACAACATCCCCGGTTTCGTTGCAAGAACTTCAGAAACCTAATTAATATGTGTATCCCAACGTTGCCCTAATTCGACGTAATTTTACGTAGGCATATATTTGTTCACCAAAGAAGTCATATATGGCGGTGTAGTTAAACCAAGTATGGTTGTTTCTACTTCACCAGCAGTTTCTCTCCACTGCTAAACTCAAAAAATGACTTCTCCTGGAACAAAAACCAGTTGAAGGGTGTGAAAATTACTAACGAATATCCTTCGGTCTGTTTTTGTTGTTCTTGGAAAACATTTTGGACACGGTGTTGTTCCAGCTGTCTTATTGATTGTTCTTGCAAAACATAATGGAACCGGCCCTGTTCTTCCTGTTTTTCATTAGGTCTTAGTATTCTCGACTGTCTAGCTGTTGGTTGTCTTCTCCATCTTATAAAATTTTCTGGAGCCGGTTGTATTCTTCTTGCTTTCCCTCGTGCCCACTGTTTTTTTTCTAAGCCTCTGTCTTCTTCTTTCTGGTTTTCTTGTTCTCCTTCTCCTCGTCGATTTTCAATAAAGCAAGCAGTTATTGGATTATTTGATGTTTAATTTTGGTGGGTTGTTTCGTATTCACCATAAACGAAAATAACGACAAAACTATCACTCAAATTAAGGTTCACTAATTACAAAACTATCACTATAACTGATCAACCTACCCTCCATCTACTTGTTCAACTGACTGTCTGATTTTTCCTTCAACTCACTGTCAGATTAACAACTCGTTCAACTTACTTCCCGAGAAGATACTTCTTCTATAGCACTCCGACCCTTCTGTAATTTTCTAGATAATTTCCTTCTAGGCTCGCTTCTAGGATTTTCCGATAAAAGTCAATTCACGATTCCGTCATCTTCTAGAATGTGCATTCAATTCTGATTTAGAATCATTAGCTCCATATCAAAATTTGTGAAATATCAACAATTTATGAGTCATGTTATGAGGCTATATTGGGTAATCAAAATTTTACAACACAGAAAACTACATAAATTATGTCAATTTTTTTTCAGGCCTTAGAGATTATCCATATCTGTTATTTGACGCGATAAGGGGTTGAGACTGCGTAAATAAATCTTGCTAATGTGCCTTTTCTGCTAACTACGCTTGAATTAATTTATTTATTCAAGACTACAAATGGATCAAGTCTGAAAATAGTATCCTGATATCACAAATTATATAAGTTTATATCTAAATAAATAATAACCAATCGTTGTGTAACATCGAGCTAGAAAGCTATAAATTATTAACTGCGTACGTAGTTAATGCATCACAAACAGAGAGATCACATGAAGGTCGATTCTAAGAACTTGAGCTCAAGATTCGTCTTGAATAATAATAAACTTGTTGCAAAGAGATCCAAATTATAACTAAACTAACACAGTTCAAGTTGGCAGGGGTGCGATTTTCGAAACCATTCGAGTACATTTTGTACACGAAATTTGACTGACAGCAATGTAAATTAAATCGGGTGAATTCGAAATAGTTCAAATTTCGTATGCGAGAATATTCGAAAATAAGACCCCCAGAGGAGTTACCATTCATGCCAAGAGAAGGTAAATTAAACTTGCCTAAAGACATGAAAAAAATTATTAATATTTTTAAATAATGTTAGAATATCAAATAGGAATTGTTTGTCACTTTGCCAGCAAAAAAAATTCAAAATGTGATCTAGCCGGTAATTATGATCCACAAAATGAAAGTGGCTTGTATAGCACAGGAACCTTTAACATAATATGTAGAATTAAAGGGTTATCATTATCTCATAATTTTGGAAGTCTGAAAATTATTGTGTTTTAATAAATTCACAAATTTTATTGGAATCAATAACGAATTTATCAATGTGTAGGTATAAGGAATTTCATTTTAAAATTAAATAGAACCCTCAGATCCTCAATGAATAATTAAACGAAGTATTTCCCACTTTAAAGTCATAATCAATGGTTGTAGATCCGGAAAAAAGCGTCCATACAGGATACAGAGTGTTTTGTCAAAGTTTAATTGATTTTCGTTAAAGAGGTGTTGATACTAGTCTAAAAGGTTTCACAATTTTAAATATGGTCAGCAACTTAACAAAGAAACAAGCAGTCCCTAAAGCCAAAGAAATCGTAGTAATTATGTATATGGATGTGGGTAAATGACAAAACAGACTGGGCCAAGATGAGACCCGAGAGACCTCTGAGAGAATTTTCCAGAAAAGAACCTGAACTTATTAAACAGCTTGCTTAAAATCTGTATGAATTACCTCTACTTGACAGAATAAATCAAAAATGATTCATACAGTGTCCCCCATAATGTTTGCTACATATTGGAAAATTTTTTATTTGTAGGATATGGAATTTTTTCTTATGCGCGATCGATCCTGCATGTCCGATAACCCAAAAGTACATTCTGACATTGGTCACGTGATCACTGTTGTGGCGGCAAATTGGGTTTATGGCAAAATTTCGAAAAAAAGTTATTTGGAAAAAGTGATAGAAACGATGTTTTAGGGCTGTCTGCGAAACTTGGAGGAAAAATAACAAAAAACAGGAAATTACTTGTTTTTAGCCATGGATCTCTAATCAAATATTATACAATTTTTATTATTGAAATAGCCCAAGTACCATTAAATGTGTATTGGTAAAACAAACTTGAATGTTTCATTGGAATGATTCCTAGAGGATTAAAAAAAATATTCGATTAGCCCATGAAACTTTTCTATAGCAATACCCTGTATCTTGACAGTTTCTGAGATTTCCAAAAACTTAATGTTGACACGACAATTGTAAAGATTCGTTATTGAGATGTTTTATTAAATATTTCAATATGGTTCTAAAACACCTTACTTAACCGTCCAGATACAGGAGAAAAATGTCATGGAAATGATTCCAATGAAGAATTTAAGTTTCTTTTACCAATACACATTGAATATTGAGGTACTTCAACTATTTCAATAATAAAAACTCCACAAAATTAGTTGATAAGAGATCCATGACGAAAAACAAGTAATTTCCTGTTTTTTGTTGTTTTTCCTCCAAATTTCGCAGACAGCCCTAAAACACCATTCTAATCACTTTTTCCAAATAACTTTTTTCGAAATTTTGCCATCTAACCCTACTTTTCGCGTTTCTATATCTAAATTTTTGAATTTGCCGCCACAACAGTGATCACGTGACCAATGTCAAAATGTACTTTTAGGTTTATGGGACATGCAGGATCGATCGCACATAAGAAAAAATTCCATATCCTACAAATAAAAAGTTTCCCAATATGTAGCAAACATTATGGGGGACACTGTATAAGTATTGTAAATATTCACTCAGAATCAACTTTAGAATCTTTTTTAAAGAAAACCAGTCAATTTATCATTTGTGACACTATGATGGCTCTTATCGAAGGACTTGCGATCTCTACAGGGTGTTCCGAAATTAATGCACCAAATTTTTATGGCATATTCTACGTCGAAAATAAGCCCTAGTTTTCTATATAAACATATGTCTGGAAACGCTTCCTTTCCGAGATACAGGGTGTTGAAATTCTAAAAAAAACTATTTTTCTATCATAATTTTCAAACCACTCTAGATATTTCATTGAAATTTTGTACACTGCTTTCAAGCAGCAAAAGACATTTTTTGATGTGAAATATTTGAAAAAAAAAAAAAAACAGTGACGTCACAGAAATAATTTGAAACTTAGGTGTTTAATGTTTAGCATTTTAATCATAATTTTCACGATTTCGCCATGCCCCAAAATGGTTCTTTATTTTTTATTTGAAAATGGTGCATCTTCCAGAAAAAAGTGTAGAGATCAAATTTGTTCCAAATTGAATGGGGACTTCAAAAATGATTTTTATTTTAGAAAAAAGCAGTGGCGCACCATTTTTTTCTTGAAAAATATTCCATAGAAATCTGGTACGGACGTCACTGGTAATTTTTTTTAAAAATAATTTCATATCAAAAAATGTCTTTTGCTGCTTGAAAGCAGTGTACAAAATTTCACTTAAATATCTAGAGTGGTTTGAAAGTTATGATAGAAAAATAGTTTTTTTCTTAGAATTTCAACACCCTGTATCTTGGAAAGGAAGCGTTTCCTGACATATGTTTATATAGGAAACTAGGGTTTATTTTCGACGTAGAATATGCCATAAAAATTTGGTGCATTAATTTCGGAACACCCTGTACAGTTACGTCTCTGTGACAAAATAAATCAAATGATTCATACAAAAATATTGGAAATATTCAATCAAATTCAACATAAGGTTCCATTTTAAAGAAATCCGTATTGCATGTAGTGTCAGTTATCACAAAATGGGAAACATATTGATGCCAGCTTTTCGACGAGCTTGAAAAAGGTGCATAATTTGATGATGGATTTATAATTATCAACATTGTTATTTTGTCCAGTTTTGTATAGTGATAGCAGATACTGGTTACATAATAAAGGTATTAGATCGCCACAAGGGGGACAGGAACAGAATCCACAGTCAAACCATTTTCATTGATCGAGAGCAAAAGTTAAAGTTTCCAAGGTCCTCTTCGTTTTTGGAAAATAGCCGTAGTTGCCGCAAAACTGACTTTCAATACATTTTCCTAAAAGGATTCGCCCGGTATTGAAATCGGCGGGTTTTGAAAAACGTCCAATGAAAGGAATATAATATGCATCAGAAAACATGTAGGTACAAGTCTCAAATGCTTCCAATATTGAAAATAATTTTCCCACCTACGTTGATCATTATAATTCTCATATTCATTAATTTGCACACAACAATCTGTGGATTCTCAAAGTAGGTTTTTTAAAATTCCAGGCAGATAGCCTCAAAAAGAAAAAGCACCTTATTTGGTTTACTTTCCACTATAACAGTTCTTTCTGTAGAAGGTATGTGATTTTTTAATTCCACAAAGAAATCCCAAGCTGTCATCCTGTCAAGGTCATTAAAGCAAACATCAACCTATTATTTAATTTAACTACAAAAAAAGGAAGCGATGTTTTTAGGTGTCTGCAATTGCTGACCGTAGACACCAGAACTGCCCTTTGCAATATTCAACATTGGAAAAAGTGTAATAATAGGTAAAATTAACTGGATATTTATTATGAATGTTGGGACATATAACCCTTATTAAACATATTATGATCGTACATAAGTATATGCTTTCATAATTAAAGGTGTAAGTATTCCGAAGTATTCCTATAATAGGGCTGTTCGCACAGCAATCACAAACCAGTCAGAGCGAACTTCATTGGTTGAAAACAAACAGAAACAGTCAGAAAACTAGTTTCAACCAATGAAATTCGCTCCGACTGATTTGTGATTTCTCTGCGAACAGACCTAATATAAAAGCGGAATCAATGCAATGTCATGCTAAAATAAACGTTATTTAATGTAACTGCATTCTATTTTTCAATGGTTTTTAATATAAATTAAAACATGGGATAAATGGATTATTTTTGAACATTCAAAATCCTGAGGGGATAAGTTACTGCCTGTGAATATGTCAAAGATTTTTTCTTTGTCAAAATGCAATTTATTCCATTAAAAATTTATTTCAAATGCTGACGTCATATCAACTAAAAATAATGTATAGTCAATACCCAAAACTGACAATGATGTGGAAATTTTCGTAGTTTATGAAACTGAAATTTGAAAAAAGGTAAGCATAATTTTGACTAGATTAAATTGTCTAATAATCCATCTCGATTATATAAATCTTCTTTATTGTGATTTATTACTGATCTGGAACTACATTTATTAAAAACTTGCCAACTATCCTTAAGACTATTGTTTTTTTTATGCTTTGAATCCTCGTCATGAAAGGTAGGCCAGGAAATACCATCTCCATGTGGTCTATATATTGAAGGTAATAATAGTTGTATCCAAGCATTTCTGTAAAATTTCAGTGCTTTACAAAATTTCCGTCTAGATCATCAAACTTACCTGTTTTTATTTAACCCCAAAAAATAAGTCCAATTTGCCTTTGAACCCAAATCATAAGGATTTACATAAACCTTTCCCAAACTTTTCAAACGTAAAGTTTCCGTTTTATTTATATGTGTTTCGACACTAGTTTCGTTGCGAGTTATGATAGATCCATGCCAAGCTGATAAACAACCTAATGCAAAAAATACACCAATATTTAATAAGGCCACATAAATGATGCATCGCCTTCTAAGCTGATTGCTTGTATGTTCTATTTCGTTGTCTTCCAGGAATGCTGGATCAAGCATCACCGTGGCAGTCTAAAAGAAGTAGACCATTAAAACACTAATCTAATGAACATATAAATAACGTTTTCAGTCCTGATAAATTATAATAAAGTTTTGATAATTATATACTTACAACTGGAATAAGAGCACCTGTTCTATTAATTTTAACTGAATGGCCCTCTAGTTCTGGTTCATCATCATCTTTCCCAAGAAATAATACTGCATAAGCTATTTCCCAGCCACAACATATTAAAAAACATACTCCAATGACCATGTATACCATATACAGGAAAAAGTAGCGGTGATTTTTGAAGCCAACACAGTTATTTAACCATGCTATAAAATTGAGTTAAGAAAAATTACTAAATAAGGTAATAAGGGGAAAAAAATTGCATTGAAAGGATACGGCAATGGTGGTCCATCTTCAAGATGCACTTGTTGCATACAGAGCAATGATGGGTTCTTGGAGGCTTGGGAGCAATACATTTTTTACATATACTGACTGCTTCAGAAATTAGTTGACCCTAAAAACGTTTAAAAAACCCAACTATGCAAAAAAATTGTATCAAAATTTAAGGAAAAGTGTAAAAGTTAGAAATTGTTGGTTCATAAACATTATTAAAAAAAGGGTATAACTTACCTCTGGGGGATATCCAGGAAGAACAGTACATGCCATATAATAATTAAAAGCAATATTAAGTAGTATCCAGTGTCCGAAAATGATTAAAAATATGCAAACATACGGATTTTTCATCCACCAGTGTGGAATTCCAATCCAATAGGCTATCAAAACAACTGAAGAGGTAAGACCTGAGACAGCAATGACTAGTAACTGGAACAATAAGATAATATTATATTTTATGTTTTGCAATGTATCGGGTCTTTAAAAAAAAAACCAATCAAAAATTGCTTCGGTTTTTTAAACGGCTCCGGTTCAAAACGGCGATATTCAAAACCGCGATATTCAAAACAGCGGTCTCATTTCAGCGACATTCAAAACAGCGACATATCAAAACAGCGCCATTCAAAACAGCGACATTTGAAAAGAGAGACAAATCAAAACAGCGACACATCAAAACAGCGACATTCAAAACAGCGACATTTAAAAAGAGGGACAAATCAAAACAGCGACTTATCAAAAGAGCGACATATCAAAAGAGCGACATATCAAAAGAGCGACATATTAAAAGCGCGACATTTGTTTTCTTTTTGTGATACAACGACTGATAAGCTCTCCATTTTTTTGATGAAAAAAATTTAACCTGTGAAATTAAGTGACAGATAATGTGACATGCATGTAGCAGGTAAGTGTGTAACGAATGAGTGACATAAACGTTGTTATTTGAAAACCAAAGTTAATTTAGTGTTTCTTGAGCACACTTGTTTTTCAAATAAAATGCTAACTTACGAGGACTAGATCGCACTAGGCGGACGGGTTAGTTTGAGTAAGTCTGAATTTTCTTATTGATTCAATTTCATGTGTCGCTCTTTTGATATGTCGCTGTTTTAAAGTATCGCCCTTTTGAATGTCGCTCTTTTGATATGTCGCTGTTTTGAATGTCGGTATTTTGATATGTCGCTGTTTTGAATATCGCTATTTTGATATGTCGCTTTATTGATATGTCGCTATTTCAAATATCGCTCTTTTGAACCGGAGCCTTTTTAAACGTATGTCTTAGCAATATTTTTCTTAAATTTTGTCAATGAACTTTAATGTCAAAATGTCATGTCAAAAATCCTGACCAATAAAGAAACAATAATGCGACACACGTTTTCGTAATCAAAGCAATCGTTGATTATTTTTTTATTTTTTTGAAGACCCGTTAGTATATTTAACGTGCAAGAAAATTTAATTGTCCTCATAAGTAGGGAAGAAATATACACTGAAAATTCCTTAGCCCATAATTCCTAGAAATCTAGAAATGGTGAAACTAGTCATCAAAGTGAACTGAATAATTGTTTTGGAAATTCTGTGACCTCAGTTAATCTTAAGGTGCGGAATATGGCTGCTTGTTATATTTACCAAAATGAAATCATGCCTCTCCCACATAACTCCCAGTGGCGTTAGAATAATGTAAATCAACAAAAATTCCGTCGGAACCTAAAGAAAACTTTCAAGGAATCCCAAAAATTAATATTATCAAAGATAATAGCACAGGCGAAGAAAGCTCAATAAAAAATAAGTAAAGTGATATCAAAAGAAGAAACATCATCGAGGAATAAACAAACAACATCTTTAGAGGGTCCAACATAAGGAGCACCCATAATCATACCAAAAAAAAACATCTGCATACATGTATTTACAAATCAAACCATACTTGGGTATTAAAACAATTACACAATTAAAAGAGATTAATAAATCTTTAAATAATAAACTCTAGCGAAGAAATGTATATTATGCTGCCTGGTATTTATTGTCTTCACTTCTTTATCAAACATAAACAAAGCCAATTCGTGTACCTCTATAGGTATATTAAACTCATTAGTAGAAGTTATAAAAGAAATCAATATCCAACAACAGAAAATTCGTGTCTACCATCAAACCAAAACTTATCATACAATTATCACCAGAAATGTAGCAGCCCTGAAGAAAATATTATATTATTGTCCTGATGTAGAAAAAAACTATCAATCATAACAGAACTGGAAAATTCTATTCAGTGTGAAACCATATATACTCCTGGACAAAATTATCGCACCACTGCTTATGGTGATGCTTATGTGCAGTGGTGCGATAATTTTGTCCAGGAGTATATAACAAGCTTGAAATTATACCCTAATAAAAATATTACACACCTTTTGATGATCGCTATTTTAAACTAAATGGCTGGTTTATACAACATTTGCATAGTCGTAATCATAATCATAGTCTTAGTCATAAGAGTTAAAAGAATATTTTCTTATGGAACCGTTTATACACAAATCATAAGCATAAGCATAAGCATAACTCAAAGTTGGCAACTTTTAAGAATAGCCACAGTATATTTATTGGTGTACTCCCATTCTTTCCAAGTGATTGAAGTAGATATAAATTATGCTATGTGAATTGAACGCTAAATAAATTGATGACTCATTACATCACACATTTGGCAGAATCTCTCGCAATTTGACATAAAGAAATAAGTAAATAACAAAACAGATGAAGTCTGAAGAAAAATGAGATAAAGATCGTGAACAAAAACCAGACTTACTGTACCCTATTTTTTTTTTTTTTTAATTAACATCTATAAGTAGCGGGCATAATAATTGGCTCCCTTACCCTTCCAATGGTGCTTGTAAAACTATCAACAAACCAGAACATTGGACCCATACATATATCCGCCATGTAGTTGGCATCCATAAAATGGTTGTAGGTGAGCGATTGATACGAAAGACAGCATTTTTTGTAGAAATTTTGAAAAAACGATCTACAACATGAGAGAGTTTATAGAATGGTTAACCAAAAAGGATGGCACTTACAAACAATATTTGACTAAAAGCAAAGGCAACAAATACCAATTAACCATTATAAAGGAACCTTTGCAGCCCAGCTGTCATAACATTTGTTCGAGTTTCATTTTCGTATTCGGTAAATTCTTTGTATATTTGATAAATTTTATATAAATTTGAATTACTTTTTGAATGTTTTTATTTTTCCCAATATTTTAAGGCTAGGTTTACAAAATAATGGTCGCGTTCACCAGCACTCAACATGTTCAGTGATTAGAGAGTTCTCGTGCTAAACAGTGGCGACAATTGCTGTCTTATTTTTGATTCGTTCTAAAATCCCATATGTTTATATTGAAAACACCGCCATCTTGTTCCCAACCTCTTGTTACTTTTAAATATGAATATATGGGATTTAGGGCGGGTATTATAAAACTGCTTTGACAGTTAGCTTGAAGTTAACTTTTTGAATTACATGTAATTCCAGAAGTTAACTTTAAGTTAACTCTTAAGGGCGGGTATTATAAAACTGCTTTGACAGTTAACTTGCAGTTAACTTTTTGAATTACATGTATTTTCAGAAGTTAACTTTAAGTTAACTTTTAAAGTAGTTTTATAATACCCGCCCTTAATTCAAAAAGTTAACTTCAAGTTAACTGTCAAAGCAGTTTTATAATACCCGCCCTTAGGGCGGGTATTATAAAACTGGATACCGTGGTCAGCAGCACGGTTCTTCTATATGGTATAGTGCTATCTATGTCTATTTTCGTTTTGTCCTGCTCTGGGAAATGTAAATAAATGGAAGTTTATAAGAATTTGAATAATTTGAAATTTTTAACAAATATGTTTGTTTTTTTCGCCTTTACTTCCTGTTTTCTCGTATGTTTTGACTGCCAAATAATGTTTGACGATCATTTGAAAAACGGCTTTGAACGACAGATATGGGGTAACTTTTTTGCTGAATGGATTATGGAATAAGCTTTAAATTTACAGAAAACGCTGAGTTAGCCAATAGGTTACTCAAAGGTACTGTCTAGGCAGTGCTGATTAGTGATTATAAATTTTAGTCAGTGCAGTCAATATCTAGTCGCTCCCGAAACTAGAGTGCTAGAAGAACAACACAAAGTTAGGTTTAGGCTCGTCTCTACCCAAGGATGATACACACTACTAAGGATGGCTTATCCTCATAAGGCCTGTGTGTAACAAATCCCCCCCTACCCCGCCTAGCCAAAAAATCAGTTGTGACGTAAACATCATGGCGTTTTTCGTCTTGACGTAGGCTGTTTGCACCACAGGTTATGTTATGATCTGGCTGCTGGCTGGAAATTATGGAACTAGTTTCCAGTATAATTAAAGTCTAAAATTATATCAGATACATATAATCATGACTTTTAATCATTACTGTTGTGTTCCTCAATGCAAGTCTTGGGCTAAAAAAAAAGCTGACAAAGGATTGAGTTTCTATACATATTTCCCCTTGAAACAGGCCCACGGGTTTATTTGGAAACGAAAATGGAAAAAGAAGTGTCGAGAAGAAAAGCCTTCTGGATTTTAAAACTTCGTATTGGCAAACCATCAGTCACCAAATTCATGAAAGTGTATTCTCTGCATCTCAATTAAGCAAGAATTTTGTGTTAAGGTAAACAAGCATAATGGATAGTTTTGTGCCCTAGCTTCATTTTAGGCCTGCTTCTAGGCATTTATCAAGTACTATCTATTTTTAAAATGTTTTGTTTGAAAATATTGACTGTTTTTATTATTTACAGGTGAGAGTACAGGTCTTAGGGCGGGTATTATAAAACTGCTTTGACAGTTAACTTAAAGTTAACTTTTTGAATTACATGTAATTCCAGAAGTTAACTTTAAGTTAACTCTCAAAGTAGTTTTATAATACCCATCCTTAGAGGTACAGGTAGAGGTCGGATATTGAAAAAAACAGTTGTACCATCCCAGAATTTGCCCTCTTCTATAGTGATCCATAAACCGAGCCAAAAAATAGATTCCATGGGTGCTGAAAAACTTGCCGAAAGAAAAAGAAATCAAGATTCTAGTGAGACTGATACAAGTAATGAATGTAGTTATACTTTTAATCAATTATTGAACTCTTCTCAGATAGGCATACAAATGGCCGAGCAAACAGCAGAACGTGTAAAGTGTTTATTAAATCCTAATTACCAGTATTATATTATAGGTAGTTCGAGTAAAAATCAGATTTGTGGTCAAGTTATTTGACTTTGTTAATTTAATTTTCACCTATTTATAAATAAAAATAAAGAGTTATTTATAAAATGTTTATTTATTTATTACACATACAAGTTATTCAAATACAGACATTATAAGGGAGATCCATACCAGCCTTGAGACCCTTTTGGCAATGTCCTATTGTAGAAAGTTTACAAAAATATAAGAAAAAGATCAGGTTAGGCTGTTGTATAGATATAATCATTTCGGGTCAGATAAACGAAATAGATTATAATGAATTTTGGCCTGCATCATCACGAGCAGCATTATGGGTGAAAATTATTACCCAGTGTGAAACTTTCGAGAACAGTGAATAAATAAGTCGATATTGCATTTGCAGCACATTGTTCTTCCTCGGCTGCTACAGTTTTGACCACCACATCGTTTTTTTTACGTTCAGGAAAAGTGTTTCAATAATGATGCAGTCCATAATACCTTATATCATTATTGACTCAAAAATCACTTGCTGCAGCCCGAAGCATATTCTCCTGTAGCGCAAGGTGGTACTTTATATTTCCTCAGGTATGTCTGAAAATAAAAATAAAGTTAAAATTGTATGATTTCCCAAAAAATTGTTAATTCTACTCTACCTGTGATATATTTCCCATTCGAATAAACAATTTCTGCACTAGCACAAAAGTTGCCTAGTAGATAAGTCAAAACCACATTCCTCATCTGCTGAATCTTAGTCAGTGAGCTCTTTGCTTTCTGTGTGGGCTCGATATATTATGCCATCAACATTTTCATTATCATAAGCAGTATTCAAAGCTTCCTGATGGCTAATTCCACAAACAAAATGTAAGTACAGCTAAAAATGTTAGCTTCTGCCCAGGCCCATATGCCATATGGGACAGTAATATTTACAAGAATATAATACATAAACAAACAATTTATGCTCGAATAGGAATATGTTATAATAATATGAGAAAACCCTAAAAACAATTAAATAGTATAGAATAAATTATCTTATAGTTATTATACTTACATAAAGAAATGTAAACAAAACGCCGCGTAATTCTCCTAGGGCTCCATTAAATCATACATGCTGAAAACGTGTATATAGGCGGAATGACGAAAGCTAGCCAGATATCGCGCTACTGGTTCCATCATAGCATAGGGTACCTTTACCCGCTATAATGGTTAATCAAAATCAAAATAAAATATTTTTCATGACAAATTATAAATTTATAAAACCGCTGGCGCAAACAGCTGGCGACTTTGTTATGACGTCAGCAGTGGTTGGAAACAGTTGAAAACCAAAATGGCGGCAATTACCCAAAAAGGGGCCGATAAGCACTCCTTAGTAAGTTTATTCTCCTTGGTCTCTACCCCTCTCTCATGACCTACCAAACGAATTCGGAACAAAATGGTATCTTACGTCATTACTATGACGTTGCAGGTACCAATTGGTTAACCAAATGGTATACCAACCAAAGCTTGCCGAAATCGCCTTTAGTCTTTTTCACGTGGCTCTGGTTTGAACTAACCGGGTGACAAAACGGTTAGTAGCGGTATATCAAATGATGACGTCAAAATGCCACTTGAAAAAGAACGGTTAGAAAAATGTTATAAATTAGGAAATCCAATGACCTGTCAATATTTATAATAGGGTTGATGTAGCCTTTAGTAACTGGACCAAAATTTGACGTGAATCTTGAAAAAAAAGTCCTTATTATGTATTTTAACTTCAATTGCTTCCATGTTCGTCAACTGATTAGGTAGGCAGAAACTCTAAAATAATATTAACAAAACACACAAAATGTTTTATTTAAGTTTACACCTGCACAATTTTCCCGCTATCTGTTGTTTACCAATTTTCTATTTGTTGTGTTCTAACCGTAAACGTGACTATATCGCTGAGCCGGTTAGAGAAATGACATACCGTTGCCTAACCCGGTTAGAAAGTGACGTCATCGATACCACTCGAATTTGAGCGGTATGTTGCGGTTTCTTAAACCGGAGCACGTGAAAAAGGCTCTTGATTAAGATTTGACAGATGACCGTTTTTGCGCGCGAATTTCATTGGGTGAAAATAGTCAGGAAACTGGTTGTTGGCGAGGTCTGTTCCCACAGGAGTCTCCGACAGTTTGCAACCTGTCAGAAACAATCGCTCAGCTGAGTTACAGATTGATCTTGGAACGACAGCATTGAAAACATGTATGGGCGATTCTTACTGACAGTTGGCAAACTGTCAGAGACTCCTGTGGGAACCAATGAATTATAGCTAAAAACTGGAATGCGCACACATTGCCATATCTGCCAAAAAAATTTAGCCATATGAAAGACAGATGCCACAAGGGGGAATGTTGTTTTTTTCTGTTGCTCGCTGTCATATGACGTTTTCGAAAGTTTTGTCATATTTCCCTTCACAGGTTTCATCGATTGGAATACGTGTAGGAAGCAATTTTCGCCATTTAACATAATGAGTGCGACAAAAACAGGTATCCCCTCCGCAGCAGCTGCACTAGGCTTCACGTTCGTCCTTATGTGTTAGCATTCCAGTTTTTGGTTATAGTTCATTGGTGGGAACATACCCTTAAACCAATCAAAAACGGTCTGACTGGTTTGTGATTTCTGTGGTAACCAATGAACTATAGCTAAAAACTGGAATGCGCACACATTGCCATATCTGCCAAAAAAATGTAGCCATGAAAGACAGATGCCACAAAGGGGAATGTTGTTTTTTTCTGTTGCTCGCTGTCATATCGCACCCCCGCTTCAGAAGTGACATAAGTAAGAAAATAACAATATGAATTTAGAGACGTTTTCAATTTTAGGTGTAATTAATTTTATTCTCAAATTCCCTGGCACTTTCAAATTTCAGTTCTCAACCTTTTATTGGTGCCCTTAGGAGTATATTTAATATATTGTAGAAATAATTTGTTATGACTATGTTTTAATTATGTTTTTGATGCCTTGTGTCATTTTTGATTTGCTCATGAATTTGACTTTTTTTTTAGTTATGTCACTTTGAATAATTATTTCTACATTATTCAACAAAAGGTGAAGGCATCAAAGGACAAAAAAACTAACGTATAATATATTATCAAAATTATATTATTAGGACTCGCAACATTTTTAACTTAAAGTGTATGTTGCTTTGCATTTACTGTATTTAATACACTGGAATACACTAGAATACAATACATTATACCAACAAAAAACTTCAAACTCTTCAGAACGAACTGGTAATGGAACAAAAATAAAAAAAAAAGTTTCAAATACCTACTACAGATTTTCATAAAAGTTAGCATAAAATCTTTTAATGTGATTAGCATGTAAGAGAGACAAGAGATCTTCTTTTTTGCTCTCTTTGAGATTAAGCTTTTTTTTGTAAAGTGACTTCAGTGTGGGAATATTTGGATTTATTTCAAGGCTCCTTTTTTTTATATTAATTTCTTGATATTCACTAGCTTCGTATGATGTTTTGATAAACAACTTATCCAGGTTATTCCTATCGATCATCAGAACTTTTACTTCCGTTCTTTTAAGTGATCCTAGATTAATTTGTAATTGTTCGTTTAAAGTCTTTATATTATAGAAATCCTTATGGCATAACTCATTGACCTGATAGGGTGTGCCGTTTTTTTTTGCAGATCGTATCAGTTGTGCGTATTGCCCAGGGATGTATATAGGACCGCCTTTCAATGCCCTTTTTATCTGTCTTTCTATAACAGAATGAACACTGTCACCTTCGTTCTGGGTGTGTCCAGTGATCAGATACTTGTGGGAGATTGATTTTATTTGTGGGAATTTCATAATCGCAAAGTAATACATAGCCACCATAAACTTATTTTTTTGTTGTCCACTACAGTTGTCTGAGTAAAAAGTAAGGTCGAAATTTTCTTGCATTGTTTGAACCGTTTTTTCTATGAACATCAAAACACAGCTAGCAATTTCCTCAACACCTCGCTTTCCCTCACCCTCGTGCCATACATAGCATTCTGTGTTTTTCGTTGTGAGTTCGGTAATTGTAAAATTGAAGGTATTCAATTTGGATTTATAGTAAAATACACTCACGTCACCACGAGGACAAGGTAACACAGCCTGGAGATCGTATACTGCTACTACATAGTTCTTGCTAACTTTAAGTTTGTCTTGTTTCTTTTCTTCCCTGGATAATTCTTTTTCTTTTTGGTGCTTTTCATATTTTAGCTTTAATTTTTCCTTATCTTCTGCAGATGCATTAGTGTATGCAGTGCACAGTTCACACTGGTCTTTTTTTGGAGTATAAAAGCTGATGTTGTATTCGTTGTTGAAAATATTGCTGAACATACACAAATTTGCAAACTGTTTTCCAGCTTGAATACAGTCGGTTTTATAATCTCTCCAAATATCGGCCAATGATTTACTACCATCTACATAATGGCGTGTAGTTTGAGCACGAAGATAATGAGACTCAATTTTAGGTATAGACTCGATGTGTTTCCGGACTCCATCTTTTATTTCAGCTGGTAGAGTCGGATGTGGATTGTGCCCCCTTAAATCTGGCTCAACAACACCAGTTTCTTTTTTCTTGGCAAGAACAGTTCTTATTGGGCGGTCATTTATGTCCAGAGTCGCTTTGAAAAACGTTTTACAAACTCTAATGCGTCCTTTCAGATCAAAATAGAAAGCATTATTGAAATTTCGGTGATTTTCAGTTGACGAATACCTGTACTTAGGTTTAATGGTAGTCATGCAGCCAGCAATAAAACATCTCTGTTTGTGTGAATCACCTAGAGCCCAATAGCTCCTGAAGATTTGTTGCCGTTGCTCTTCATTAATTTTTGCGGAACACTGGAGTTTACATTTCTCTCCGCAGGGTGGGCGCATTTTTTTCTCTGGATATTCTCGCCTACTCTTTGATGTTGATACATAACTTAATCCGAGATTCCTTCTGATTTTTGCTTTTTTGACACTCCAATTTTGTGGATTCGATTTTCTCTTTTTTCCTTTTTTCTTTGGACTCTCGATTTCTTCGTTAGCTGTCTCCATTAAAACCTCTTCCTCACTAGAAGACTCGCTAGACGAGGTGGTGGCCTCGAATTGAGATTTTTTGTTTTCTTTATCCTCACAGTCTCTTGGGTCTTCATCGGAGTCGTCACAATTACTTTCTCCACGAGGCAGTTGCCTGTAATTTACATTTTCCATTTTCTTCATCTTCACAGTCTCTTGGGTCTTAATCTGAGTCATCACACTCACTTTTTTGATCAAACACTCTTCCTCACTAGAAGACTCGCTAGACGAGGTAGTTGCCTGGAATTTGGGTTTTTTATTTTCTTTGTTGTCACAGTATCCTGGGTCTTTATCAGAGTCATCACAATCACTTTCTCCACTATTAACAGGAGAAATTGCATAGGATTTTCCATCTACTTTCCGTAATTTGTACTTCAAATTCTGGCGACAGATCCCAGAAGGTCCGGGTTCCGACGACTGTGCAGTATTAATTTGTACTCTACTTAGAGGTGCGGGAGAAAAAAACAAAGCGTCTGTTTCGAATGAAGCTACTTCATCTGAAAAGTGATTGTATCAAATATTGACAATTAACGTAAGTATACATAGTTTAATACATTTTTCACCTGTTTTCAGGCCAGAGTCATGATTTTCTGATTCAACTTGCGTTGAGTTTCTAAGAACAGCCGGACTTCTCAGCTCGAACGAGTTTTGTGGCACTGAAGAAAATAATTAGAAAAAAAAAACAACTAAAAAGCTGACAAGTGTATGTGTAGTTGAGTACTTCATTTGCAAAATAAAATTTTAGAAAAAAAAATTGAAATAAGTAGGTAGTTTACAGAATTTCTCACCTGTTTTTAAACTAGAGTCATGACTTCCTGGTCCATCTTGCACTGATTTTTTGAGGAAAGCTGTACTACCTGCTTCGAATAAATTGTCTTGAACTATCAAAAAAAAAATAGAAAAAAAAACAACAAATTTTAGATACTTGAATTATTGCGTTTCTTACTTATTTCAGGAAATCCTATCCCTATCACAATGGGAGCTTCTAAATCGTTGTTTGTTTTTTCAGCTGAAACCACATTCATAGTTCCTTCGTTTTCTTGTCTACTCTCTTGAAATTGCTTGGCCAAAATATCCAGTATTTTTTTTCCGCGGCTTCCAGACATTGCTACAGAGTGAAATAATTAAATATTATAAATTTTTGGAAATTTTCCCACGCTATTAATTGAGAATAAACTATTTGAAACATGACGGACTATACTTTTTTAATGACTGCTTCCGTATTTGTTTTCAAAAGGAAAAAAAACTTACCTTCTGTTGCGACTTTTTCAATTTACAACAACTGTGTCACCAGCCACAATCACAAATACTTTATTTCTTAGTTATTATAATTTCGTTTTAAAAGTGACTTAATCCAAAATAATAACACTAGCAATTTTTATAGAGTCGTCAGAAACGACACAACTCGAATTAAAACGTTTCAACTAACGCGAAAAAAGTTTAAAAACGACACAACTGAAAATATGTCACTTCAACGCGTGCGCCCTTGTCCGAATTTGAGCGGCGACTGACTAAATACTAAATGTGTCACTTCCAAACGTTCATGCTGGCGCGAATTTTAAATTTAAAAAGTGACACTTCCGCCATCTAGCGGAGAGTCTTGGGATTTTAGATGTGTCGTTTCTCAAGTGTGTCGGGAGTAAATTATCCCTTTTAAATATGACTTAATACCAAAAATAGATTTTTTTCAGTTATGTCACTTCTGAAGCGGAGGTGCGATATGACGTTTTCGAAAGTTTTGTCATATTTCCCTTCACAGGTTTCATCAATTGGAATACGTGTTGGAATCAATTTTCGCCATTAAACATAATGAGTGCGACAAAAACAGGTATCCCCTCCGCAGCAGCCGCACTAGGCTTCACGTTCGTCCTTATGTGTTAGCATTCCAGTTTTTGGTTATAGTTCATTGGTGGTAACAGACCTACAGTCTTGATTATTGCTGTGTCTTTTTTTACTCAGCGGCGGATTTGAATTCTAGCGAGACAAAACCAATTTTTTTAGAAACAAGGCAAAAAAAGTTTGTTGATAAGAATAGATAGTAGACATTCTAATTGATATAAAAATTCAACAATTATTTTGTTGTATTGTATATTTTTTGTATTTTGATAAGCTTGTAACAACCCAATTTAGTCGTTTTCTGCTCAGCTTGGCAGAAGTCATATGAAAATAAAAAAATTATTAGGACGAATACGTTCTATTCAAAAACCAAATTATGTTGCAGATTGGTAAAGGTAAGTACTGTACTGTAGTTATTTTATTCCCGAAAAAGCTTCGTGACTTTGTTCTACAGATATCACACTATACTTTCACTTTTTTTTCCAATATCGCCATATTGGGTGAAGTAGATCTGTTGAGTTACCAATAGTTACCACCAAGTATTGAGCAATTTTGATGCTACAATATTTGTAGTTTCTTTGCTCATATTTTTTTTACCGCACACGTTGCCGCACCACTGAAAAAAAAATATTTTTCAGGAGTCTCGCACCGGTCTAGCCAGTAGCCGTGAAGAATTTTTTGAAGCCCTCAAGGAAAGAGGCGTTTTAAAACCAACTTTTAAGTTAAGACCAGTTTGAGCGTTTTGTGGGATGTTGTGATGCAATTTTTGGATGTCAACTAGTTCTCGGACACGAAAACGCAAAAATCCTCTAATCCCTTATTCTGTTTCATTCTGACAACTGAGTTGAGTGATTTAACCCAACTTTTTTTGCTTGTTTTCTAACTTTTACTTATCTTAAAGATTCCTGAGCTTGATTAATTTTCCCTTGGTTTTTTTTTATGGAGGAATCATTAGAAATTATTGTTCTTGCAGACGTAAATGGGACGTAAACTAATTTTGACATAGAATATAGCGTTACGGTAAGGCATCCGCTAAGTCCCGTTAGGTAACGGTCTCCGCTAACGCTAATACCGTAAAAACTGTCATACTTGTCAAATAGCGTTACGTTATTTGAAATTTGGACAGCACGAGAACTCATCTCTAATAGTTGTATTCCTTTCAAGGGTTTGAAACACTCGAGCTACTCGCTCCGGTGTTTAGTAGCCCGGCCCCGATTAAAGCCTAGTACTCATAACTGCGAAATTCGCACTTTTTTGACATTGCGTTGACAATTTGACGTTTTATGCGTGTATCAAACATCAAATTGTCGAAGCAATGTCAAAAAAAAGCGAATTCCGCAGTTATGAGTACTAGGCTTTACAGGGAACAGATGCGTGGTGCAACAAACACTTTTCGAAAGGAATAAGCGCGTGAAGCCCCGGAGCTGTTCCGGAGCTCCTCCTAGGTGTGAAAGGAATACAACTATTGTGAATCGTATAAAGTCTGTTTCTTTTTTAAAGATAAAAGTCAAAATGACATTCTGTTGGCAATAATGTAAAATTGTCCTTTCAAATTTTTTATGTAGAAAAGGCTTGTGTTACCAACACAGTTACTAAATTTTTGACTTGGGGAATTATCTTTAAAAAAAAAACATGCTTTACTCTATCCACCGATCAGAGCCGTTCTAAACTTAAAATGTCAAGTAAATTGACTTGAATTTCCCAAATTCAAGTACAAGTACCAAATTCCACGAAAGTCAGAGTCAAGTTAGTATTTACAGCACAGTGAGGTAATATGCACAAACTGAGTCCGACAGCCGGCGCTGGCGCGCGTTTGCTGATTCTTGCTGCATATGTTAGCTCAGTTCCAACCGACAGGAGAACCGTTCCAGAACCAGTAATTTCTAGTTGTCTACCTATTTTTCAATAAGTTGAACATTTATTCTACTTGACAAATGAATTGATCAACTGGAAATTACCGTTCTAGAACGTTTCTTATGTAGGTTTTGCAATTTTTGCGTGTATTTATGACGTCACGCGATGAATAGACATAATTTTATTTAGTGGTATTTAGGGTTGCCACCTCTCCGGGTTTCATTTGGAGTCTACGGGCTTTCAGATATGGTCTCCGGGCTCCGGATTACTAGGTCTTTTCTCCGGGTAAAACCGGATTTAACAAAAAAACGCATTTTTAACAAAAATAAAGGAAAAATAATTCTTATGTCCCAGGAAAAAAAAAAAGATTTAGCAACATCGCAATACTGTTCCTGCTCTCCCTCAAGGATATTACACACTACTATAGGATTGCTCATCGGCCTCGATTTTTAGAATCAAGGTTATATGGTGTTGCGCCGTTGCCGACGTCATCAACGGTGCCGTTGTTAATTAACAAAAACCTCAGATTGTGTCAATTTCAATATGAGGTTGTTTTTGTGTGGTACAATCCGAGGTTCTTGTTTGCTAACAAGAACTTGACTAACGATTGATCAACGATTGATCTCGTCGCCATAAATGTACTAAAACCAAGTATACATAAGGGTGGATTTTCATGCATCCGTTTGTCCGACGAAATATGTCCGTTTAACATTCTATTCTGACATAATCGTATAAAAATATGTCAAATTAGAAGATTTAACGGACATATTTCGTCGGACAAACGGATGCATGAAAATCCACCCTAAAGCTAAAGCAAAAGTCAGCGATATCATGCCTGTAGTGCAAACACCCTCCGTCAAAGGCGAGAAACGACACGCTGCTACGCCATCACTGGTGCTTTGGCGTGGTAGGGGCTTGAGATTTGATCTACAGAGGCCATATGCGGATAGGCTATTCTATGATCTATGGTTGTCCTATTCTGTGTAGTGTGTAATAGTCCTTGGATCTACCAGGATCTACCTCTCCAACCGTCTCAACTCCCAACCCTGGAGCATCATTCGGTGATGCCAGGGGAGACGTGTATAGAGATAGAGTGTACCTTATGTCTGTTATCAGATTTGTAGGATCTTTTCTTTTTTTTTTAAAAAAGGGATTTTTTTCTCCGGTTCAACTTACTTTCCAAGGTGGCATCCCTATGCTTGGGTACCTTATTATTTTGAGTAGCGATGCGAGATTTTCACAAGAGTTCTTAGAATTTTCTTCTTTATTTTCTGAATACAAGTTGTATTTTAAGGTTACACCCCCTTTAATAGGAGGGATTCAGTATAGGCGCCACAGGCACAGGAATTGGTATTGGGAGACGCCAGCTGGGCTCTTCCTACCTACTGGCTGGGTTTCGGCTGCTGTCTTATCACAGACTTACCACCCTTTTGCTTGCAAGCAGAAGAGCAGAATATCGAAAAGCGAAGACAGGATTCAGAGCAGTGTGTCTATCTGATTATAAGAATCATAGCTCCGTTATCCTGGACTATTTCTCCATAAAATTTCAATATGTTGAAGCTAAAAACTTTCTTAGCAAATAAAAAAAAATTGGTTAATCTAGGTTTCCAGAATTTTTAGAAAAAAAAAATCAGAAATGAGGCAATCAGACTATGGCAAAGATATCACTAAGTGTGTCTGTCTGATTGTAAAAATCATAGCTCCGTTATTCTGGGCTATTTCTCTATAAAATTTCAGTATGTTGAAGCTAAAAGCTTCCTTAATAAATAAAAAAATATTTGGTTAATAAAAGTTTCCAGAATTTTTAGAAAAAAAATTAGGAATGAGGCCATCAGGCCATGGCAAAGATATCACTAAGTGTGTCTATTTAATTGGTAAAATCATAGCTACGTTATCCTGAATTATTTTTCAATAAAATTTTATTATGTTGAAACTGAAAGCTTCCTCAATCAGCAAAAAAATATTTGGCTCCTCCAGGTTTCCCAGATTTCCAGGAAAAAATCAGAAATCAGGCCATAGGCTGTAATGCAAAAATATTACTCAATGGGGCTTCGGATTAAAAAAATCGTAACTCATAGACGGAGAGCCAGCGCCGAAAAAACTCTCTGAATTTACTAAAGCTAGTTTTTGGACAGTTGATTACAGTATTCACGTACATAAACATACCGCGGTCAGTCAATCGAAACTTGGGACAAGGACCTAGGGTATCTTGTTAAAGTTGTCGAGATAACTTAGGTAATGTAATGGATTTACAAAGGTTGAAAATCGTTATACATATTATAGAGAGATGTCGGTAAAACAGATAGCGCGTATGGACGGTAATAACGTCAAGAGTTATTTTTTCAAATTAAAGCGGTATCATACTTTCAAATTGGAGTTATCGGAAAAAGGTTAAACGTAAAATTTGCCTGTTCGC